ACCCTCTGTCCTACCCTGTAACAGAGAAAGTGAGGAACGTCTTCATTGAGTTCTACGTCATATGTACTTTACAGATATTACCACAGTTCACCTCCAAATCAAACCCTCATGTCTATAACTGATCTTCTGATGTTAGGTCAGTCAGTGTTAAAATGACAGTCAGATACACGACCCTCCTTCTACTTGAATTTCTTCATCACTCTGTCTTCTAATTCAAATATAATATACAAATTTTCAGAACATAAATAATATTAATTTTATTACATGATATTAAACAAGTGGAAATTGAATAAGTCTATGGGAATGCTGCCACCGTCTCCACTATTCTCCTTCAGAACTACGTCAATGCACTATGCAGCAAGTTAAAACAATGTTTTCTAGGTATAGATGTCCAATTTCCTCCCCAACCTGATTACATTTGATGAATGTTTTCCAAAGGGAGCTTGCTGCCTTGCTGCTAACAGCATCAAATATACAGCATCCAATATAAGCCATATTTATTGTCAGTCATCTCCAAACAACTGAAAGGAACTGTCTGCTTCTCCCACGTCTGATTGCAGCACGGTTTACACAGATGTGTAAGAGCACATGCAGATCCATACACAGTACGCCAAAGTTGAATGCAAGATACTTAGAAATAAATGCCAGAAAAGCTAGCTTCCTATGCCCACATTTCTAACATGTAACAGTATAATTCAGTCAAAGTCACCAAATCACAATTTTCCTCATTGAAAACCAGAGATCACAAACTGCAGAAAAGAAACCAAAGTTGAGAGGTATATGGTATAAACATCAGGCTTACAAAATCAATATTGGCCTTAAAAGTAAATGATATAGAGAAAAATCGTAAAGCAAATGATCTGCTGATGTCAGGAGTGTGTTATCCCCAGTTGTGAACTCTATTGTTTTTGAAGATGGCACAGACCTTCACAACCCTTGAGAGGGCTATCTGCGGATTGCAACTTAGTGTGAGGGTCAACATGCTTCCCCAAGTCCACTCTCTCTCCAAGTGTGAATCTGTCTAAGACAAATGGGTCTTTTAATACAGGAGCAACTCTTCTCTAACCTCCCTTTCCAGCTTTAGCAGCATAACTACATCCACTCCATGCATTTGTGTGCCTTAATGTGATTCTTCTTGTCTACAAAATAAAGTAAATCAGTGGCAGTGTATAAACTAAAAATTCTCTAAAATAGTATTCAAAAAATAATAAGAGTTCATTAAAAATGTAAATAATAAGAGTTTTTTAAATTATCACAATTATGGCTTCTAGGGATATGTGAGTTCATCCTTTCACTAACTGTTGTATCTACTGCATCGAGAATTCTGAGTGTAATAGCAGAGACCAATTTACTGGATGTGTGTTGAATAAAGAATATTAACTCAAAAGAAGAATCAAGAGCTTAAAGAATAGAGACACATGTTTTTATTTGTCTCCATTATTGGAATGCCTCCTTCAAATAAGCATAATTTTAAACTTCTGGTAGGTATTTATTCATAACTTCACTGAAGCAAAAGCACAGACAACAGAAACCCAAGCTGAAACTTGAGGGTAGTTGTGTTAAGATCTTGTCAAAATGATGCTTTGGGGAACATAAGTAATCCACACAACATAATCTGAACCTCTTAAAAGTAATGCAGGAACCTGAAGAATTATATACCAACCTATAGATTCCCATATATTTATATAAAAATATGCCAACTTCTTTCTTTATATAGGATGTTTAATTACATGGTGTGATATGTAATGCAATTCCGTGTTGTAAGCTGCAAACCTGGTATTTGACTATCTTGTGCGAAGTAGGAAGATCAGATGGCAATACCAAGAGTTCCAGGTGTGAGGCTTAGACTCAGAAGTACTAAGTATTTCAGAAAATAGAGCAAATTAAATTTTAAATCCATGACCATAAAGAAAATGTCAATAATAAGAAGAGTTGAAAACAAACAACAGCAATAACACAACTGACTCCCAACTACTCCTTAACGACCTTTCATATTCTATTTCATGTTCGGTTTCTATTAATTTCATTAATGGGATTTGGAGTCTTCCATTAATTTTAATTTGATTTCTCAAATACAATTATAAAGGCCTGCTGAGACTGGCTAACTCTCACTGACACACACACCTAGCAAGAGATGGTGGCAGGGTCTATACGCATTCCACCAGGTCGTGTTTCAGGAAATTTGGTCAGCCTTAATCATATGCTTTCCCAACATGTTTATGACTGTGTGCTGAGATGATGGACTAAACATATTAGCAAATAAATATTTCTGTTCTTAGTATTAATGACACTTCTTCTTTATGTTTGTACACAGGAGATGCTTCCCGACTAATGGCAGATTAGAGGATGTCTACAATGGTGAGGCTCACAGGTCAACTAAATGTGTATGACAGCTAACTGCATCCTGCTATATACTGGCATACACAAAAAGGCTGAATTTACTCCAGCAAATGCACAGGCTTCCCAGGTACTTTATGTTTCTCCTCTGTAAGATGCTGGGAAAGTTCAACACAATGGTGATATTTAGGGCACTCTATGGGATCCCTTTGGAGTTTTTCAGTCTTACATAAGATTATTAATTAGACAATAGTATTCCAAGACATATTCACAGTACATACATGCAAGAGTCTGGCATGCATTTATCTCAGTAACTTCTAACATAGTGTGTGTGTATGTGTGTGTATGTATGTATGTATGTATTTTATCCTAAATTTACACTTTTCTCAGTAGCTGAAGTTTAAGAAGGTACACCAGCAAAGCTACAAACCAAGGTTTGGCTATGTTCTACATACAAAGGCAAGTGTAAGGGTGTAGTTTGTTCTGAACTTTACTTGAAGATAGTTCAAGTTGTTGAACAACTATGCATGTTGAAAATCATGAATCCCCAATTGTTGGTTGACTAGGCACTTGGTAGTTTGTTAAAATGAGAACAAGAGAAGAAAACAAACACAATTTTATTTCTCCTCACAAACAAGGACTCTGTCTAGCTCCCTGCTCCTTTGGCATCTTGCCTTCAACACTGTGCTTGACTGACAAGAAAGTAACTGTAAAAGTCAGGTTTCCTCTGCAATAAAGATACTTTCCATGGTGCTGAATTTTTCATTTAAAAGCTATGTGTGGGTCCTTACTTAGAGTGTTAATGCTCAGGCCAACAACAGGTCACGCAGAGTTGCCGAAGGGAAACGTGTGTGTGCTGCATATAAACGCCCATACATGCAATGCTGCTTCATGTGTTCTAGCTCACATTTAATGGAAAGAAATTTGATTATTTTGAGGCATGCATCATAAGGTCAGGGAACGATACTGGTTGTTTTCATTTTGAAAACAACATTAAAATGGTCAATTGTGATTGTTTAGGACTCAGCAAAGCCATTTCTAACATGGGGGGGGGTCATTTTCAAAATGTACAGCACAAAAGCAAAACACTGATTAATAATCACTGGAAATTCTTACACATTTTCATTACTGTGGATTTTTCTCTATTGTTTTACTAAACTAAGCACCATTGATTGCATCCAAAATCCAGGCTTGACTATAACTTGGGCAAAGATTGTTTTAGTTACAATCAATCACAATTCTGGTTGGAAATCTATCACCATAGGCTCTCAAGATACAAACACGTGCATATTTTCCTCCACAATCTAAAGAAATGTGTGAAGTTAGTATTTGGATTTTTTCCTTTCCTTAAAAACTAAACTTCTTCTGTCTAAAGAAAACATTCTTCACACACTAAGCTCATTTGTTTGTATGTGGGGGGTCGTCACACTGAGTGACAAAAGGAAATAAACAGGCAGTTTCCTCTGGGTTTTTCTAAGAGCTCAGTAGTTGAAGATCAGGGCTGCTGTAGCACTGAGGGACGTGGACTATTTAGGAGTCTCTCCATGAACCACTCTGTAAGCTGCCATCATACTAAGTCAATTCCTAGAAAGAGTATGGGTTAGAACCCAGAGTTTCTTTTTCTTTTCTTTTTGTTAAATGAGAGGTGGGAGAAGCTGCTAGAACTGTTGGCTGCCCACGTTTCACCTATGGCTCTTCCTGAGACCACCCCTAACAAGAACAAGAGCTAAGAAAGTTCTCTGAGAACTGAAGGAGAGAACCCAGATTAGCTTGAAGGGAAAAGTTGAGGGGTTTGTCAGTGCTCAAAGTTCAGACCTCTACCGACCTAATTTTGGTAGTGGCGGCTATGCATGCAGGTACTTGAGTCCACAAGGGCCCTCCTGGTGGTAATGCTGGCTGTTTGCTCACTCGGGACATCCCAGGATCCTGTCTTTAGTGTTCCAGTACTCCTTTTTCAATCTCTTTGGAGATCTAAGCCTCACCTCACCCAGGAAGTTATCTGGTCTGGGAATTAGGTGCTGTTGAGTGGCTGGCAGGTGGGGTGGGTAAGATCGGGTAGGGAAAGGAAACTTTTGTGTTTACTGACCATCTTTCCAGCTCTTTGCACTCTCAAACTCCATACACAAGAATCCAATTTAGAGATGAAAACTTGGAGACTCTGAGCTAACGTTCTCTGCTGTATTCCCATTATGCTGGTGGATCAAGGATGCTATTCTTAAGGTTCTGGCATGCTTGTGTGTAATCGGGACTAATAGACTGATGGACACTCACTTCAGCATCTGGAAGAGAGTTCTCACACCTCCCCCCTAGCCCAACTCAAGTGTTCAAAAAGGTGCTGGCAACCTGGTGTCTAGAGTAAGAGCCAGCCCAGTTGAGCCTTGATTCCTGCACTCTGCTCAGGATTTTTAATATCAGATTGAAAAACCCGCCAACCATACATTCCGGGAAAGGCTGGCACCTGCCAGGAGGGAAGCAATGACGCGAATCCCACTTTGTTGTGGAGCTTTGGGTACGCACTGGTCCCCACCACCCCCAGATCGCGTCCCCGCACCAGTGCCAGCTAGCGCCGCCTTGCCCGGACCCGATGCGCCCTCGCCGGCCACTGGGAAGCGATCAGGACCCCTGGATCCCAAAGTGTAGAGCGCTTCCGCGGGCTCACTCACCGATCCTGAGCACTTGCGGGGCGGTCTGCGGGAGGATGTAGCACAGGAAATAGAGGAGTGTCCAGCTGGTGTCCCTGGTCCAGAGCCCGGGCTTTATGAGAACTGTGCCGCGCTCCATCTTCCAAGCTTCTTAATTCATGACGAGACACAGTCGTGGCCTCACGCCCGCGAAATACACCCAACTTGGGCTGGGTCCCAGCCTCATCCTCCTTGGATGCTCCCAGGCTGCACGCCGCGCGCTCTTTGCTCTCAGGAGAGCGAGATACAGGGAACCCGCGTGGGGACGGGTAGGAGTGGGTTTGTGAGACTGAGCTGCTTGGGGCTTAGTGCACCGGTCCTTAGCCCATCACTGCTCGCTCTCCTCCTTCATGGACCGCAGACCTCCAAGAATCAGCAGGATCCCGCTCCTGGAGCCCAGAAACCAGCTGAGGAAAGTTGCTACCTTGATTTGCTGGAACGTCTCCCTCATTCGTCCTCTGGTCAGATGCAGAAGTGGTGGGTGGGGGAGTGGGTAGAGGGTGCAGGGTGCAGTGAGGAAAGGAGAGGAAGCGGGGAAGAAGACACCCAAGGAGAGAGGGAAGTGGGTGAGTTGGTGCAGGGCTCAGACCAAGCAGCATGAGCTCCAGCAGGTTAACTGGGATACAGGCTCTGCTTTTGCTTCTTTCTTGGTTCTTCCCTCCTCCCCTCTTGGCCCCACCCTTTATTTACTGCCCGCCCCGGCCAACCCTACTAACCCAGCCAGACACACTCACACAACCACGCGCATATGCGCACGCGCATGCGGACACACACACACACACACACACACACACACACACACACACACACACACCAGACACATTTACACCATGCACGCACACATGCAGTCACTCTTTAACTTTGCGCTGTGGTGCTGGGAAGTCCATTGAGTCTTTCATCCTAAAGACAGATCAAATCTAACCCATTAGTCCCTAAGCAGAGGGAGTTCTGCTCTCCTCTGTGAATGACAGCCTTATCCCTAGACGCCTCTGCGGGGGTCTGAGAGATGACTAGCAAGAGATAGGAAATCACACCCTCCGAGGGAGAGATTTAAACAGTTATCAGAGTTTTTATTTTTAACTCTGATGAGAAAGGAGGAGGAAAAAGAGGAAGGATGAGAAATGGGTACCCTTCAGTCTTTTAAGATTATAGCGACTCTTCCTATCTGGACCGGAGTAAATGTCTTGAAAATTGCTTCCGTTTCCAAGCGCAGAACTGAGAAAGACGCAGCTTCTGGCACGGTGCTTTTCTTAATTTCTTTTGGCTGTCACATTTGAACACTGGAAATAGGCTATTCTAACAATGTAGGTTTAGAGACCGTTTCTCTGTAGAAGGACAAGGACACTTCCCTGGGGAAATCAGCATTTGCTCATGTTGGCTTAATTTCCTTGGAGCTTTCTGGGGAAAATTCCATATAAATATTTGCTGGTTCTGTAGGAACACCTCAAGGTGCCTCCCCCTCTCCCAAGTAGGGGTTTGGAAAGTTGATCTAAATTGAGTTAATTCATTAAAAAAAACACTCATATGAGCCTAGAATGTGAGAAATTACTAATGTAGTGCATCTTAAAATTCATTTATTCCACAAATGCATATTGAGTAGTTTGTATCTGAAGGCAGCGAATACCTCGCCAAAGAATCCATCGTGAGGAAACCACACAATCTCTTCCAGGGAGGCTGTAGTAGTGTCGCTGTTGGAAGCAAAGAGGTCACACTGTGTGTACATGTGTGGTTCTCACACGTGCACTCGGATGAGGAGATAGAACATGCACTAGGATAAGAGGATTTGTGCAGATTTGGGGGTACACCTTATCATATCAAGGACATGGGTCGCTATTTGCAGAAACCTGAAATTTTTTGTATTGAAGAAAGGGAACTCTCTTGGTGTTGGTTAAATGGGAAGAAATGCAAAAGTAATAGTAGATGGGCACTGGAGAAAAACACAACTTCAGCTTACTTTGGACTGTTTCTAGAATCAGATAGAATAATACAATGACATGATCTGTTTCAGAAGACAGCCATACTCTCCGTCCGTCCGTCCATCCATCCATCCATCTATTCAATGCATTTTTTGAGCATCTACTTTCTATGAAATATTAGGCCAAGCCTTGAGCACACAGCAGGAATGTGATCGCTGCTACGCTGCTAGCATGCCTTTAAAGAAATGTGAATTCTGTCCGTAACAGCTTAGTTGTAGAGCTCCTGCTTGGTAGACATAAGGCCCTAGGTTCTCTCTCCAACATTAACAAGTATCAATGTCTGAAAACTGTACTGTAGGTATGAAGAAAAGAAGGAACCTGACCTCAATTAGGAGATTGTGAAAGGTTGCTATTGTATTGCTTCTTTCATGAATGGCTGGTAAATATTTCTTAAAGTGAGAATGAAAGAAAGTGATCCTATTATTTTTAACCATGAGATTTTTATTAAGTATATCTAGTCATTTATATTTTCTTTGGATATCCAAATTCAAGTTATAGTGGAAGAGATTTTGTATGACAAGTCTTGGGAATACAAGATTAAAAATTGAGTAGGTTTCTGAGCACCTGTTTTGGTCTATATGTTAGCATATTCTAGTTCTTCTCTTCAGGTTTGTCCATTTCTTAACATTTTCTCTGTAGTAGCTTTTGTGTGCTTACTCAAGTCTAGATTTCTTCTGACCTTGGCTTGTACAGACTCTACATTTTCTGTGAAGAACAGTCCCGTAATTATGGCCAAGGGAATGTGTGTGACAGTATTATGCCCCACTTAGAGGTAAAATCAAGACAGGGAAAGGTAAGCCACTTGGTTCTCCTGTGTTCTCATATCCTTTTGGAAAAAACTCAGAAAACCAAAGCTTCTAAAGATCTAGGTGCAGGTGACAAGGCTGCCACTGTCACCTTTTGTGGAAAACTGTTCTGAGTAGTCGCTACACTGTCAGAAAACATGTGAAGTTGTGACGTCTCAACTTTAGGTTTCATTCTGTATGATTGCAAAATACCTGTTACTCAGCACCCCCTCATCAGTCTGACTAGTACACTCTCCAGGCTGTAACATCGTAACATCCTCCCATGTAACACAAAAGTAATAATAAACAAAGGGACCATTGAAACACTAGGACACATATAAGAATTATTTCCCACAGCACAGATTACTCAGTAGATATGAGTTCCTTTCTGCTGGTTACATTTTGGCTAAAGGAATGCATATCTACATTACATTTCTTTTAGTGTAAATAGTCCCACAGGATGATGATTAAGATACTTTGTCTGCTGCAAAATAAATTAGCAAAACTGGTGTAGTTAATAGCATGAAAACAGTAACCATTCTCTGGGTTCTAATACTACTTAAGGACATTTTCCCACTTCTCAAGCTTGCAACCTTTAGGGTAGGAGTGAATTTTTGCTTCTCATTGTTAGAGAGAAATTGGATTCTCCAGGTTTCCTAAAGAATACATGGCTCACGTATGCTACCTTTCAGTATCATCTGTAGGACACTGGAAAGCTCAAGACAGAACTTTATCTCCTTGTTAAAATGCTTCTCTCTGCTAGTCATGCGCACAGGCTCCCGGCACCAAGCTCCTCGTGAGGGGCCATCAGCTGCTGCTCACTGTCCTGTGCCTTTTCAGAAGTGATGGATTTTATGCACACATGAATCTAGTTACATTTTGGCTCAAAAATGACCATGGTGATCACAGTGCCCTCTTAAGAATAAAAAGTAGTCAATGGGATGCATATTCTCTTGTCCCCAAATCTACGTCTTATGCTTTGATTCACACACAGTGACTGATAACAAAGCACCGTGATGTGTATGTGGCATTGTGCTTCCTAGCAAGGCTGGAGACATTACTTAAATGCAGATCCATTTTCAACCACTGAACTTCTAGATGACGACTAGGTGCGAAAACCATCTTCCAGTAAGCTGAGGAGCTAAATGCTATAACTATGTTTTCTAAATGTGGTGAGCGCACTTGAAGGCACTTACAATATTACCCAGAGCACTCAAGCAAAGCATCAAGTGATTTCTGGAGCTTCCTAGGAATGTGTCGTTGCATTAGGATTGAAGCTTCATAGTTTTGGCTACATCTTTATTCCTTTATTTAAAAAAAAAAACAAAGTGACATCATGTATTTTGATGATGTTAAATATGGTTTAAGTCAAAGTTCCAAATCCTCTTCTTTTCTCAAATCCTCTTGATAAACGCCAATTCACACAGCCAACTTTAGCCACCATTTTCAGATGACGCAGTATCTCACACTCATTTTCTTATGAGTAGCCTTCCACCCAGTTATTACGACTGGAGACTTGGAGGTCACTCTTGCTTCGCCCTTGCAGTTTGCCTTCGATATGCAGTTGATTGTCATGTGCTACTGGGTTAAGCTCTAAGCCATGTCTCTAATCTACTTCTCTGTAACTTTACTGCTGTCACAGTAGCCTAGGGGGTTCTAACATCAAAACTTCGACCACTTTGGAGCAGAAACTCTTGGCTGTGGCAGTTGTGCTGTGCAGCCCAGATCATAACACCACTTTCCTATACTCTCTCCACTAGATGTCAGTAGTACTTCCTCCTTAGTGACAGCCAACAATATCTACAGGCAGTGTCAAAGGGTCTTAGAGTCCAAACTCACCTTGTTGGAACCACTACAGCAGTGCAGGTAATTGTGACCGTCCGTCCATCTGCCTTGTTATTGTACAATACTCTAGGCCTCCTTCTCATTTGACCTAACTGCCTCCTCCAGTGCCCTGTGCAATATTCTGCTCAGTTCCCTCATACTTGCTATTAACTCTCTAATCATTTTATTTATTGTATTAAATACTGTTTACCCAGAGTTCCAGGAGTACTATGTCTGGCACTGAGCTGGGGCCTGGTTAACACTCATCAAACAAACAAGTCAGTGAATAAGAGACATTGTCTCACAAGTTATATAGCTTACAACCCATATCTGTAACTATGCTAGAACAAACTGAGTCATCAGCTAAAATTCTATTTTAAATTCATTGATCTACATTGATGAGTTTAATATGTACTGTTATCTTCAGATTATGAATATTGTGTGTCTTAGCTAGGAAATCTCGATGATAATCTCAGCGTGTTTCTTTAGATTTCAACAAAGCACTATGCAGAGCATTTTTTTTCTCAAAATTTCATTTTCCACATCGTGGATATCATTACACATACCTTAACAACTTTACTATAATTTCCTTACAAACACTGCTGAGTTTTCCAGAGCATAGTAGGAAGCAGCTCTAGTGAAATCTCTGAAAGAAAAGAGCACCTTAATGTTCGTTCTCCACTTTGCACTCACCGTCATGTCTCAGCAATGCAAAGCAACAGTGCCACATAGAAAGTTCAAATCGAGCTGATACTTAGCTCCTTCCAGGCATAAATGCAGTTCATCAGCAAGTAAGACTGGAAACGGTGAGTCCTAGCACTCTGAGTGTCCCAAAGCTCCCCAGAAGCTACTGACCATAGCTCAGTGTTTCCTACGAGTCTTTAAAATGTCATTGCTTCAGTCATGGCCTGAATAATCTTGCCTAATAGGCTTTGTTTTCATACCCAAGAAGAAGTTAGCTTTTAAAAGTTAGTATAAGGCCATCAATTTGCGAGGATTCTAATTTCTTTTCTCTCATGTTTATGAATAAAATACGTTTTCTTTAAGACAATGAGAATATTCAGCTTGGCACGGTAACAC